TTCCATTCTGAGGCAGTTTGTATAAGATTGGAAATATCTCTTTCTTGAAAATTTAGTAGAATTCCCTTGTAAAGCCCTCTTGATCTGGTGTTTTCTTCATGGGAAGAATCTGCTGATTTTCAAGTGATGGTTCAATTTTTAAATTGTTATAAGGTTATTTCAGTATTCTATTTCTTTTTAAGACTTTTGAAAAGGTACTTTTAAAATAAAATATATTCATTTATCTAATTTTCAAATTTATTGGCATATGTTCAGAATGTTTTTATATTTTAATCTCTACTATGTGTGTAGTTATGTCCCTTTTTATTCCTAATATTTGTACTTAGTGTCTTTTCTTTTTCATCAGATTTCCCACAGGCTTGTCTATTTTATTATGATGTTTTGCCCTGTTGAATCTTTGTTATTTCTTTGTCTTCTATTTAACCAATTACCACTCTTATTTTTCTTATTTCCTTTCATTTTTTATTAGCTTTTTTAACTTCTTGAAGACTTAGTTCATTAACTTTAGCCCTTTTTTCTTTTCTAATATGAGAGTTTAACAGCATAAGTTTAAATAAAACCGCTAATTTTGAAGAATTCCTCAAATATTGTCATTATTCAATTCTGACTAATTCTTAACATCTATCACAGTTTCTACTTTGTCCCATGACTTTTCAGTGTTTTTGGTTTAATATCAATGAAGGGCTTTGTTTTGTTGTTTGTTAATAATTTCTAAAAAGTTGCCTTGTCTGCATTACATGGTCTGTATGAACTTGAGACTGAAGTTCATTGAGATATACTTTAAGGGGTAATATAAGGTTAATGTTTCATGTGTTCTTGAGAAGGATGGGTTTTTATTTACTTTTTTTTTTACATGCCAAAAGTAGTTTAAAAAGCAAAGTACACACTCAAGGAGAGAGCATGTGTGTACTCCAGAGGTAAGCAGTCAAGAAGGGTTTATTAAAATTTACATTTGTTCATTAAATCAAGCTTATTAGTACGCTGTTAGGAACTCTTCTTCATCCTTAATTACTGTTTTATTTATTTTAATTGCTTCACCCATTAATGAAGATGGCCAGTAAGGTGACCATATAATTTAGGGTCTAAGCCAGAACATTTAAGAGTTAAAAAAGACACAAAAATGATTAAGATTATGTCATTCTTGAAATATTGACTGACAATTCTTTCAGTGTTAAGGGATGTATAAAATCACTTTATTCAAAAGCTATTTAGAAAAATAAAATTCTTTCTACAGATGTTCAAACTTTTTGTATTATCTGAACTTCAAAATATATATATGTATATGTATGTAAGCAGAATAATTATACTCAGCATGTATTTATATACTTCAGTCCATTTCAAGGGGCATCTGTCTCTAATGTCATGTCATTGGTCTTTTTCTGAAAACAAATTTTTTCAAAATGTTTTTTTTATTTAAAATTTTAAAATAAAATTCCCTGTGGCCTTCTCTAAAGTTGCACTTGATAGTTTCCTGACTTGGACTTGCAGACCTCTTCACTGGATTCTTCTTTCTAGTCCTCATTTCCACTGGACAATAGTCTGTCTCTGAGGCACCTGAATCAGGACAAATTTTGCTAACTGGAGGATAGTTTCAATTCCGATTTTTTCATATTAAAAAGATATTTAAGCCCTAACATTCTCATATTGTCTTGCCTCCACTCAAGAGTACCTTCTTCAACATATAATGAAACTCATCAAATAAATTCTCCATTTATAATTCTTTTGAATGACTCACCAAATTTTGATGCTGGTAAGCCATGGGCCATTCTATTCCTTTGTTTTTTTGTTTCATTTTTTGATGCAGAATTCACATTTACCCAATTAAAAACAGGAGCTCCATAATAAGTTGAAAAAGTATAAAGCAGAGTTATAGAACTTTCAAAATTAAATTTCATCCTATTTGAGCTTCATTCAATTTATGTTGCTTAGTTTCCCTCTTAAGACCCAGATTTCAATGTCTTCCTATTTGTCAGGTTTGTTTCCAATTACCTGATTGGCTAAAAGCTTCAAAAGTGAAAGTGTTTTGGCCCACTGTTCATCAAATAAGTTTATCAAGAATTTCCAACTTACTAAACAAATCAAAATATACAGGATCCATTTACCAAAGAAAAATTCCCTGTCATTGAGGACAATGCAGGTTGTTACAGAGCAGTTCTTCAGCTTCTCAGGCATCTGCTCAGTGGTGGACAATGAGGAAGTGCAGCCTGCGATGCTCATTTTTTGAGACTCACCAGGTTATCAGATATTTTGTTCTTTAGTTATTCTGTGTACACATACTAAGACTTTAAAATTTTTTAGTTTTGTAAAAACTACCATGCAATAGCATTTCACACTCATTAGGATGGCTATTATTTAAAAACAAAAACAAAAAACAAAAAAAGCCAGAAATGAATGTTGGTTAAGATGTGGAGAAATTAGAACCCTGTGCATTCCTGATGGGAATGTAAAATGGTACAGCTGCTGTGGAAACCAGCATGGCAGTCCCTCAAAACGTTACATTTAGAATGCCCGTATGTATGGCTCTGAACTCCACTTCTGCATATGTAAGAATTGCATAAAAGAATTGAAAGCAGATACTCAAACAGATATTTGTACACCAATATTGATAGCAATGTTATTCACAATAGCCAAAAGGTAGAAAGAACCCAAATATCCATCCAGGGATGAGTGGGTAAACAATATGTGGTCCATGCGTACAGTGGAATATTATTCAGCCTTAAAAAGGAATGAAGTTCTCATACATAACATGGATGAGCCTCGAGTCCTTTATTCTAAGTCAGCCAGCCTTTTATTCTAAAAGGATAGTGTATGATTTCTTATATGAGATTCCTAGTCATCAGATTGGTAGAATAGCTGTCACTTCACTTGTTATAGGTGTACATGAAAACTTAAAATTGAAAATGAGTGAAGTTAGTTTAAAAGAACTGTTCTAAACTGTTCTAAATGAAAAATTGACACATCACAGAATGATGTGTCAATGTACCTTCTGCAACTGTCTGGAACAGTCTCCCTGTAGTAACTGTTCACTTTGGAGCAGACGTTGCTTCTTTGGAAAGCCCGTCTTCCAGTTTTCATGCTAGTTACCACTTTGCCCCCCCACCCCCACCCCATGGGAGGTGGTAACCTAAACTTTTTATGCTCTAGGTCATCATCAATCTTGAGAAACAAACACTTGTTTAAATTAAACATGCACTTTCATTTTATGGGAATTGTTGCCCCAGTGATTCACTGCAGAAGGCTTACATTTCCCCACTGGCTCTTTGGTCGGTGGAGGGATGTGACTGTGGCCCGTTCTCATTCAGGTATAGTGCTTAGGAGTTTGGCAGTGCCACCAGATAGTGCTCTTAGTTTAACTCTACTGCTCATGGCCTTTGTGTCGGCCGAGGAACAACATCTCTAGTTCCTAGGATGTGCACAGGGAAGCCCGGCTTCAGTGCAGGGTCATCAGCCTGCCAGCCTTGCTTTCTGCTTCTGTTTTGGCTAGGGTAAGGTTTCCTTTAAGTTCAGCTTAAAAAGTTTCTTCTCTGTAAAATGGGGATGATGGTGATAATAACAGTCAATTCCAGAGCTCATGTACACAAAGCACTTGGAATAGTGTCTGGCAAATAATCACCACTTAAGTGATGGGTATTATTATCTGAAGATTTTTCAAAAATTGAGTCCAGTACACTATTTGATGTGAACCATGTTTATGTATTTCATGGTACCTATTTTTACAAATAAGCTTTATATGACATTTGGGCTGGCACTGCACTGCATTTATGTAGCTGCACTTCTGTGAAGCCACAGAGAGAACGTTTATTATCTTAGAAAAATGTGCTGTACATTTATAAATATGTCTATTTTGTGAAAGCTATGATTCAGCAGTTTTAAGGCTAAAATCAGCAAAGGGATCTGGGTCACCAGTCTTTCCTTATTATAAAAAAAAGCACAAATTTGTTGAATTTTAAGTTTTATGAGAAATTTCATTTTTATTGATTGAAAACATGTGTGCATATATACATAAAAATACATTGAAGTATTTAGACTTTTTTTGGATATATGTGTATTTTGTGTGTGACAATATGCTTCATGTAAAGGTTTGTAAGTTCAAAGCAGTATTACACTTGCTGATAATTACCAATATTTTGAATTTGCTGTACTTTTCTGGATTCTTCCCAAGTAAACATATTAAGATTCTAGAAAAATAAAAGGTTGTAATAGTCCACTGAATAAAAGCAATTTGGGGGTGAGAACTAGAAGCTATCTAGGAACATACAACCAAGCCACAGTGTATGGTTAAGTGACAAAAGCTTTTTTAGTTTAAACAATTCCAAAAATTCCTTTCAAAAAGCCTATATTTCAAAACATGTTAAAATATCTAAAACACTTTTCTCCTTTTACTCTCCCTCGAACCCCAAATGCTAGTGAACTAGATAGTGGTGTGTGGTACAAGGTGCTTTGAAAGACTCGGTTTGCCGTATTTCCTCCCAACAGAGTTAATTAGGATAGAAACATGGACTGTGGCATATCTAACTGCTTCTTTGTGGAGCTTGTCATCTGGAATATATTCCTCATGTAATCTTTTCCCCAAATGCTAGTGAACTAGATAGTGGTGTGTGGTACAAGGTGCTTTGAAAGACTCGGTTTGCCGTATTTCCTCCCAACAGAGTTAATTAGGATAGAAACATGGACTGTGGCATATCTAACTGCTTCTTTGTGGAGCTTGTCATCTGGAATATATTCCTCATGTAATCTTTTAAAGACCTTTTCATGGCCAAAAAGGTCAATCATGCTCATTACAAATAGGAAATACAGGTATGGAAAAGAAAATGAAACACCCGTAATCCTGCCACATAAAGATAACTACCTACTGGGCTATATTAGGGTGTATTTACTTCCTTTTTTCTAAGCATACAAAACATAAACATATACATATAAAAATGTGATTATATTGTTTACAGACTTTAATGTTCTTTTTTTCATTGGCTAAAATGGTCTCGAGTTGCTTACTCTTCCTCTTTTATGTTCTTCATAAGGATTTATTATTTTAATGGCCAATAGAAGCTTTCATTGAATGGATATACTGTTATATAAAAAAGGTATTTGTAATTTTACAGCTTTTGAAGTTTTATTCTGTATAAATTAAGATTTTGTATAAAATTCTAAAAGCTATAAAATTGTAAGTTGTATCACATTTTTGACAATAGTGCCTCCCAGCAAGCAATGCAACTGGTACGTGGTCTCTTTATATTTTTTAACTCCTCAAAGGCTGAGAAGAGCAGACAAGGGGCCGCACACAGGGACACCATGTGCTGACAGCCCGGATCACAGCCACGCCCACTGAAAGTAGCAGAGTCCGCACCGTCACACGTGGATAACTGCAGGTCTTGTAAAGTCCACGTGCTCAACTCCTACCAGCTGTAAAACAGAGTTGATGGGTTTATGATCCAACCTATTCCTATCAAGGTGTATGAAATGGATGTTGTTACCTAGAAGAGAGTAAGAACAAAAGGCAGGGGTTGGCACATAGTATTGTGCATTAGATTTATAGCTTACTAGAATCAGGGAAGCCTTTTAACTTTTAATTAGTCCAGAGGGAAAAATTAATTACCTGGAGTACATAATATTCTCTGTATAATGCCATAATAATTTTTAATTAAGGTAATAAAGCATGACAAAGATTATGGTTAAATAAGGGTGATACTTAATGTTTTATGAGATTCAAAGGGAAAGATTCTTAAATTATAACCTTCTATTAGTTTTTATTAAATGTAATTAAATAAAATATCCTGTCTGACAGCCAGAATATGCAACTAATAGATTATCAAGCTGGAAAATCACATGTTTCTTAAATGGAATAATGGAATAAATCACTCACTGAAAAAAATTCACCCTCAGATACTGATTTAATAGGCTATCTGCATTATAACTATATACCAAAAGTAGCTGAAAAATAAGGGCATTAAGACAATCAGTTACAATATACTTAGAAGTCCACAATCCTTTTATCTGCTCAAATTTAAAAAGTTACAGTATATAGACTAGGTTGTTTAATTCTTGGATTGAAGACCAGAATTTTAACTTAAAATATTAGATTAAGTAAATATTATAAAAGGCATGTTTTCTGCCCTGTACCTATTTGCTTATATGGTAATCACTGTAGATACAGTGTCACTAACTGGCTCATCAGTTAAGGCAAAATCAATCATAGTGAGAATACAATTGTCAAGTCACTGTGTTGTGCACCCAAAACCAATATAATACATCAGCTATATTTCAATTAAAAAACAAAACAAGACAAAATGAAATACTAGGTGAACCATGATGATAGACCTGTATCGGTAAGTACACCAAGTCTTTCTGTAGGGAAGCTACATTTTTTCCTGAGGGTGTTATCAAAATATTTCTCCTTATTAAGTATATTCCTAACCTGGCACACACATGACACTTTCCACATGCTCTTCATTTTGACATACCTGAACTGTGTGGTCAAATGATGTGAAATATGGACTAAGGGATGCAAAAAATAATGCCTTCCAAGTCTGAGGACAGAAGCAAGTCATCAGACATATGACTCAACGTCACTCTGGGCTAATTTACAGGACTCGTTCTCATAAAGCAGGGCATATTTTGACTAGTTTAGTGTAAGTTCATAAGAGAGAGGGCATGGAAGACTAAATGACAGATGTTAGCTAGCCATACTGTTCCAGCTGCAAAAAGCCAAAACCTCATAATACTTGGTCAAAATCCTCCTCCTACAGACTTCCTTTCAGACATCTGGAATTTATTAAAGATTAATTCTGTAACTCCTGGAAGCTATGCTCACTAACATACACAAGTTTAAAGAGGAAGAAGCACGCCCAATCAGTTTCCAACATAGTGATTTAGGATGTTTGGCACGTCAGCTCTGAGTGTTTGTCCCTGACAGCAAAATACTAAATATGGTAGAGAGCCAACACTCAACCAGTTAGCAGAGCGGAGCTGAAGGACTTGCAGGTGGTCCAAACTGATCAGTAAAGCTATTCCTTGATGATTTTCTCCTACTTGGAAATTGCATTTCCATGAACCTTTTAAGACTTTCACAGCCAGCAAACCACCACTGAATTTCCCCACCTCAAACCCGTGCACTCACTTGGGCATGGAGTGATGGGCACATTCCGTCCAATGGAAATCAAAATACACAGAAGCCTTTGAAAGCAAATGCTGCCCTTATGAAAGCCCAGAATCCTGTTTAACATCAAATTGCCCTTTTTTTCTTGTCTATTTTCTGAAAAAGGTGGCTGCTCTCTGGACTTCTCATAGGTCCAAGAAGTGTACTGCTGGACATGGACTTTGAGGCTTACCTGGACCTAAAATAAGGGTTCCGCCTTGCTGAGCTGGGTCTCCTTGGAAATCAAAGAGCGGGCCAGTCACTGCCCGCCACAGGCTCCGAATGCTTCCTGAGAGTATGTTTGATTTTACATGGGGGCTCTTTCCTGAAATATTGGAAATTGTCTTTAGATGTCATTTTATACTCAGATTAGAATCAGAAGATAATGTTAGCACTTCTATAAACACTCTTTCCTGTGTGTCACCTTACTCTCCACTTGTGTCTTTTCTCCCTCCAAAGAAGAGTGTCTCAGCCTTGCCCAACAGACCGCCGGGACCAGAAGTCTATCCTGTGCACTGTGGGGGGCTGAGCACCGTCCTTGCTCTGCACCCACTAGATGCCACAGCACCATCACCAGGTGTGACAACCAAAACATCTCCAGACAACACAGATCGTCCCCTGGGGCCCAAACTGTCCCTGAGAACTGCTGCTTTAAAGGAAGAGGTGATGATAGACCCCAACCATTTTCTGCCACATGAGAATGTCACCTACAGACCTCTCACACTGGTAGTCTTTCCCAATTCCCTATAGGTACTCTGTTTATCTTTCACCTAACAGGTAACTACACTCTTTTTTAAGAGGCACTCTGGCACAGGCTGTTAGAGGCGGGTCAAACCGTTTCCTCTTTCTGGGCCCACGGCTAAACAACATTCCCCACTCTTCCGGGCAGGCTGGTCTGGCCACGTGACTGTGTTCTAGCCAATGAGTGAAATAATGTGCCACTTCCAGGGCAGCTTCTAAAAACTCCTCACAAGCTAGGGGATTGTGGGGTATCATGATTAGTGCACATGGTATGTGTGGGGTCATGGGGAAGAGAGTAGTGAAGACAGGTAGGGACTGTCTCATCTTACTACACTGATGGAAAGTGACTACAATGGAGACTATGACGGGGGAACTCGATAGTAAGAGTGAATGTAATATTGTTTTTTTTGTGAAACCTTCATAAGAGTGTATATTGATGATACCTTAATTAAAAAAAAATCCCTCACAAGTGATTCTCCAGGTACCTTCTAAATTCTTGGAAGCCTGGGGTTCAAAATGGCAGAGCCACAGGATGGAAGGGACCTGGGTCTTTCCTATTCCTACTATGTCCCTGAATTGCTGCTTGGAGATGAGGCACCCGAAGAGATATGCCCACATTGAAATCTGAAAAACAAAACAAAACTCATTTCCTCCATGTTATGCTGCTGAGGCTTTGGGGTCCAGCTCACCCAGCTAACAGAGCTGCCATCTCTCCCAGGCTGTCAGTTTTCCCATTTCTCTTCTCCTTTTGACTAAAGAAACTCAGCCTCTGCCTTCTTGTAACTTACCTTTCTCCTATTCTTGCCTTTCGTCTCCCTTTCAGCTTTTTATCTTGATGCTTAACCTGCCTGATTTCTTAGTATTTCCAGACACCTATTACTTCATCTCTCCTACTCTTCTATTTCTTTACATTTATAATTCTGATGGATATCCATTTTACCAAGAAACATACAGGCTCATTAGCTTAGAGATATGGGGTAAAGGACTAAATAAATTCTATGGTTTTCTAGGATTCTATATCTAAAATAAATGCCCAGAAATCCAAACTATCTCATGTCCTAAAGAAAGGGTCATTTAATATTTCTGCAATTTTAGAAACTCAAAAAATTGAAGGAGATTCCACAGCCTAGAATCTGACCATCTTTGCTGTCAAGGACAACCTAATTTTGCCAGTTTGAATTCAGCTCTTGTGTGTGAAACTCCTGTTTTTCAGTCTTCTATAAGCCCACTGCTCTCTTGCATTTAACGGCTTTATTTTCTAATTTTTTTTTAAGAAAGTGTCCATTATTTAAAAATTTTAAGTGTATTCTTTTAGTATCTTAATTTCAAGTAGGACTATTCTGAGACTGATTCTGAAATTTATGCTTTCTCAGGGAGAAATTTTTAAAAACTACTTTATGAATTGAAAAAATAGTATTTTCTGGTTAGAAGTATGGTACTTTAACACCAGTAGAAGTAGGTTAAAAGAATGGAAATAGCCTCTCTTATAACTACGGGCAGATATTTTGTTTAGAATTCATCTGTTTTCCTTGCAATTCTGTATCTTCATTGTGAGGTGTTACTACAGTGACTCTCACAGTTTCCACCCAAAGTGCTAAATGGAAGACAGACTTTAAACAAACTGAGACAAGAGAAAACCATCTACTGAAAAGTAATGTTCACAATCTGTACTGCAGAAAGTTCCTACACCCAGAAGAAAAAAGAAAGAACAAGCGCTGTTGTAATGCTAGCTTGTAGTTTGCTATAATAAAGTTTAGGTTGCTTTCTTTAAAAAAAAGTCAGGGAAGGGGCCATGTCGGCTCCATCTCATCAACAGCCCCTGGCTCCGTCCCCTCCTCCCCACGTCCGCTGCAGACATGTTTCTTTCTGGCCTTGCCATGCACACATCGCTGGCCCCAGTGTGGTGGTTCCAGTTACTCCTCCCCACTGGGTATGTGACTATATCACCTCACTTCACATACTGTGTGAACCCCCAATGCCTCAGAACAAGGCCAAACTCCTCATCATGTCACCTCAGACTGGGCATGAATCGGCCACGCCATCCCTTGGCTCTCAGGATTCCCCACTGGCTCCTATACTCCAGCCTGACCCAGGGCCCTGCTCGCGTCCATGAGTCCTATTTGATCACGCCTAAATGCTTCTGCTTGTACTGTGAGCTGCACCCTTCGCAGCCTACTCACCCAGCTACCTCCTTCAAATGTGAGCTTAGTCAACACCTCCTCTGAGAAGCCTTTCCAGATTCTCCTCTCCCAACGTCTACTTGGTGTAGGTATTCCCAGTACTGCTCTCCTCTATTACAAGCCCTTAGGCTGTACTGTCATCAGCTGTTTGCTTCTGTCTGCCCAAGGAGATTATGGATTTGAGGCTGGGAGGGACTGGTTATCACTGTCTTCCTGGGACCCTCCAACACAGGGGGCGTCATGGACAACAGCTCAACAACATTTGAGGAGAAAGCTCTGAGGGCAGGTTGAGTTCTTACCTGGCATTTCAGAAACCAAGTTCTTTCTACCTAAAACACACATGAACAGTTCCCCTAATGCTCACTAGGCTCTCTTAATTATAAAGAATTGTGGTAAGAGCAGAATGTGGCTCATACAAAGATGAATAAAACCTGAAACTCTTGGACTGATGACTGACTATACTACCCAGGCACCGTAAGCACAACACTAGCCCATCTAACAGAAGAGCAAGGTGCCACTGAGGTTTAATGAGGGGAGCAAGTCTGCTTGAAGAGCTAGTAAGAGCCCTTTTGAGTTGGGCTTCCAGTGAAAACTAAGATTTCAACTAAATAACAGTATTAAAAGCGATGGTGTTGAGGTAGGAAGATGTATTAACAAGCAATATTACTTTCCATTACAAAGTAAAATATACTCATTGCAAAAAATACAAAAACCACTTTTCTCACTGCCAGACCTGGGGGAAGCACTGCAGGACCTTGTAAAATCTTCTTCATTACACACACACACACACACACACACACACACACATATATACTATAGATCTTTATAGGAAAATGGTTTTTATTTTCACACACACAGAATCATACTGAAAACACTGTTCTGCAACTTGCTTTTTTCATTCATTTAGTACCTCACAGCTTTCAATGATATTACACCAGGAAATGAATCTTTTAGTGTCTGGTGTATATGGACTACTTAACGAGCATCATAAAAGTAGCCTGAATTAAGAATTTACCATTTGTCCCCTTGTGGATATACACACAAATGCGTGAACACACTATCAGCATTTTCTACCTGAGACGGTCATGTCTTACCCGAGGAGGCAATTTCTTCACCTCTTTTCATTCCCAATCTTTTATAAATCTCTCTCTCAGGATCAACGTAGATTTCATAAGAATACCCAGTCAGTTTACAGAAAGGCTAAAAAAAGAATATTTGTAATTCTTATAAGAAAAACTGAAAGAAAAGTAACGACAATCTAACTTTAGTAATTTAACATACACTTTGTGGTTCAAATATTTTTGTCAGAAACACATTTCCTATGTTAGTTTCTCAATCTGCTACATATTTACCTCAATATGATGGTAGGATGACTGTCCAATCACTATAAGGCTGACATTTGCTTCCTTTAGGAGAAATAAAAAGGACATGTATATATGTTTTATACAACTTTCCCCAATCCAACTCTTTTGTTCCATCCTAATGCCACCTCTAGGCTTCTAGAAAAATAGAATAGCAAAATTGTGCGAGGCAAAGCCAAAAAATGTGTATTAAAATGTTCAATTCAGAATAATTTATCGCTAAGTAGAATTTCAAAATAATACAATCACTAAATCTCTATACTCCTTAAAGGCACACATTAAAAAAGAATAAAATCTTATTACAGTAGGGTTCATTTTTTCACATCCCAATTGATATGGTCTGCTGAAAACGGATCTTAAGTTTTACAAACTCTGCCCAAAGCCTTCACTCAAAAACTCACCTGGGGACAAACCTATATGCGCCCCAAGAAAAACACATCATAGGAACATCGAACAGATTTTCACCTCAGATATATTCGTATTTTCCTATAATGAACTACTCGTTATGTTCTTCTTACTAAAATAAGGGAAAGGAAATGCCAGTAATTTCTAGCATGTGTGTTTTTGGTCATGACCACTCAGCATTTACGGATAGGCTGGTGACTGAACATAAAAATTACGGTTAGTATGTTTACGAGCGGGTAGTAAGGAACAAATTACATCTCCTGTGCGTGTGTCCCCTTTCAGAAGTGCTGGGCGGGGCGGGTGGGGCGGATCCCCTCCCGGGTCCCCTCCCGCTCCACTCTTCACAGCGGCTGGTGACGCGCGAGGGTGCCCCCGCAGGAATCTCACCTGTAAGAAACTCGCGGGGATTTGGGCCAGATCCTCTACGTATTCCTTGCAGATGTAACACAGGAAATGCTGAAACCCCAACACGGCAACAAGGACGAGTCAGCACGACGCTCTCGGGCAGAAGGGGCCGCGCGTGCCGCTCGTCCACAAAGCGCCCTCGGCGGCCTGAGGGGCGGGCGCCCCCTGCACCAAGGCGTCTGGGGGCAGCGGGAGGCCCCGGCCGCGCGCCCCACTCTGGGCCCGACCCTCAGAGGCCCGCACGTTCCCAGCGAGGCTGGGAAGCCACCGCCATCCCCGCCTGCCGGCCCCGTCGCGCCCCGGGCCCGCGGCCCGCGCTCACCCGCACGAACACCACTACGGCGCGGCGCTCCCGGAACAGCGCGCCGAATGGCACCCGGCGCCCGGAGGCGTCCAGCACGGGCAGCTCTGCCACGGCGGCGGCCAGGGGCTCCCCGCGCTCGGGGCCGCTCGCCGCCGGGGCCGGGGCGGCGCGACTGCTGACCTGCCATGTGACCGGGACCCGCGCTGGGGCGGCCATTGTGCTTCACGCCCGCCGCAGGCGGCTCCGCGCCCCCACCCCAACTCCGGGGCGACTGAGGCGGGGCGACCGGACGGAAGGGGCGGACCTGGGGCAGCGCAGGGACCGGGGACCCGCGGGGGGAAACCGGCGGGAGGGGAACCACCGGGGAATCGAGGGGAGCGGCCAGCGGGTGCGCTAGCTGCGGGGACTGGAGACTTTTTATGACTCCGCCCCTTGGGGCGGGCAGAGGGAGGGGTGCCCGGCCGGGCCCGATCCCAGCCCATGTTTGCCTGCTCGTGGCCCCAGAGGCCAAGCCCCGAGAGCCGAGGACTGGAGAGCAGGGAGGGCTGCTTGACTCCGGGCCCGCCGGGGAGGCGGACTGGCGGCCCGCGACTCCCCGAGGTGTCCGTGGTCGCCCGCGCCAGGAAGGGACGCCTCGGGAGCCGGGAGGCCGCGAAGAGCCCCCGGCCGAGGGCACTGGCGGGCGTCAGGGAGGCTCTGCTCTCGGAAACCGCGCGACGGTGAATGTCCTTTCTGCGGTTCCGGGCCCCCCAGGGCTGTTCCCGAAGCTGGGCTGGGCGCGGGGCGCGGTGGAGGAGCTCAGCCGGTTTAACGGTGGGGCGAAGCTTCGTGGGCGCCGTGGGGGTGGGGGTGGGGGTGGGGGTCCCAGGCGCGATCGCGGAGTTGCGGGAGGAGGCAGCACCCGCCCTCCCCAGCCGCCTGGGCCGCAAGTAGTTTCTAGCTAGTCAAGAAACCAGTTAACGAGCAGTTTAACAATTTTCTACTGGGGGCAACCCTATCTGTAATCCTATAGGTTTTTGTTTTTCCTTATATTCCTTTTTTAACCCTCTCCCCCGTTTCTGGCGTTTCTCCCCGTCCCCGCCCCCCCTCCCCGCATACACACACCCCGTCTCAACATACAGAATAATGTACAGATTTTAAGAGTAGAGTTAAAATTTTATTTTAAAAATAAAATTTTAATTAAACATTTTCCAAATCTTATCATGGATATTTTTAAACATGCCCAGAAAGTTTAAATAATTTCACATTGAATGCCCTTATATCGTTCACCTAGATTCTACTGTTTTTATCAGGTATTTCTGCATCTGTCCACATATGGGGGGAGTTTTGCCTATTTATCCATCTCTGGTATTCACACCCCTATGAAAATAGGGAACATTTTAATTACTGGAGTAAACTTCAGTTCTACTTTTCAAGAGCCAGTGTAATAAACCTATTTTAGAAATGTACTGGACTGTTTCAAGAGTGAAGTCCTTTTTTCAGACACTTCTTGCTAAAGCTATTTACCAGACCCCTCAAATGAGAAAAACCCCGGGTAAGTGAGCGTGCGTGTAGAAGGCGGGTTGGCAGAGGGGGCGGGGGAGTCCGTTTTGTAGAAGTCCCAAGGCCGACACAGACCAGTGTGAATATAGAGGAAACCCCGTTCTGAATGGAGTCAGAGGCCTTAAATGGGCCTCTGGCCCTCTACCAGGCTGCAGCATGAATAACCAGCAGAAAGAATTCTTACCGTTGCTAAGAGCACTTTTCACATAGGAAATTTACCTCCTGCCTTTAGGAAGAAGAGGGAAGGTCCCTCCCTGCTCCAGCAAACACACTGACCACTGCTTACACCCAATGAGAAACACCTGTGACCTTGAACTCCTGTTCTCTAGTGAACTTTTGTTCCAAACAACCCACCCCAATTGCCTCCTAAAACCTAGTAAAAGCTGACCTTCCCTTCCTCTCTTTGGGCTTGCCTGTGGTCGGCCAGTTGGCTTATCCCCAATGGCAGTGCCTTTGCTCTTCCCGAATTGATTTTGCCAGTAAAAGAATTGGCTGTTTTATTTGTAAGATTGACACCAGGTCTCATTTTGGGCACATTTCCTGTTCTGCCTAAATGTTTGCTAAGGTAGGTGGCAGGCCGGCAGGCAGGTATGGGGGAATTCGGGCATTTCTGCAGCCTCAGAGCCAGGGAGGGGCCCTGGAGTTGGAGGTTGGTCTTGCAGTGAGTGGGTGGTGACCATGTGTCCAAAACTTCCAGAGCAGGACCAGACAGCATTTAGATTCTTCATCTTTACACAACCATCCACTCCTGTATCTGGACTTGTGCTTCAGAAAAAAGGATCCTCTATCAGTGGTATTTGTCTCACCGAAGCCCTTTAACATCACTCCTATTGAGGACAGAGTGCTGGGGTATGTGACCAGTGTCCCTCTGCCACAACAGTTGTGTGTGATGATTTATACATTATTGAATACATATTTAAGTGCTCCCAGCTTGAGAAGCCTGCAGCAGGTTTAGACATGTTAAGGCACAGATCTATTTCTAAATCAAGATATACTAGGCGTTGGGGAGCCACAGTGCACTTAACAGGACACAGCAGGATATTTTAAATATTTGAGGGAAACAGATCTGATGTCTGACATCTTGAATGTGAGTGGAGATAATTCACAATGTCACATCAGACTACATTTATTTTCCTCTCTCTTTGAATGACATAAAATCTTTACAAAGCTAGGTTTTCAACAGCTGTGATAAAAAGCTAGAACCACATAAAGTCTGTGGAAAAGTAAATGAGGATGGTGGTGTCCAATCTGGTTCCAAAGTTTGAGAGGTTGTGTAGTGCCCAACAGGCATGCACACCCCAGAATGAAATAAAAGTAGTACTTTTAATTTATAGGCATATCTTCAAACAGCTACTTAGTTGTTCAGACATAAAGACTTGATAAATTGTTTGGACCTAACCTCTAATAAAGGGAGCTGGCAGGAATTTCTTTTGGCTGAGGGTGCTATGAATGAACCACAGAGACACCAAGGGAGCTGTGAGCCAAGAAGGTCTGGGCCCCTCCTATGGGATGGTAAGCTTCTTGCCTTCTGCGGCACTTTAGTAACTTCACAGACTGGCACGAGCCCAGGCACAGAGCTGGCCTCCATGAATATTGTGGGGTGAATGCCTGGAAGGGATGGAAATGGCAGTGCCAACAGCTCTCAGCAGGCTGCATGGCTGTAGTGTGTGGAGTGTGGGTGGGAACAGGGCCATGAGACTGCTTCACAGTGAGAAAGGGACCGTGGGTTTAGACAGAGTAGGGTGAGACCTCAGGGGAAATAAAAAAAGCAAGATAATCACAGTCAGAACAATGTAACAATGTGCAGAGAAACCCCTACCAAAACTCTGTGTCAAACATTAATCAAAGTCAGAGTCACATTAATTCTCTAGGGTAAAAATATCAAACTAGGAATATAGGCATTCTTCAGTGAAATTAGTCAAAACTAAAAAGCCAGGAGTAACTTGGCCTGGAATGTCTGAATTTCCCCCAGATAAGAAAATGCCTCAGTATAGCCCATGTCTTCATTGTGTCAATTGAAGCAAGCCATGTGGGATTTGCTTTGGCCCTCTGGGGAGCCCAACTTAGTTTTTACTTTACCCAGGTGCTGCTTTTCCTCCTCCAGCCCTAATCAAATCATATGCGACCTGGGCAATTGATTTAGCAAGCAAGCCCAGTCATAAACAAGTAGTAAAAACAGGAAGGATTCCATCTTAAAGATAAGATTGCATTTTAAAACCCAATTAGTTAAAAAGTTAAGTTTCTTAACATACTCTTTAACAAACAATAACTCAGCCCACCTTGGGAGCAAGGCAGGCAGTCTTGATTGATATGCCCCCAGACCAGGAAGCTACTATCCTGGGAGGAAATCAGAACAGTAAATTTATTGTCTTAATCTCTCTGCAAAGATAAAGATTTTGTGACCACTTAGCAAGTGTGCATCCCTAGCCCTTTGTCTCTCAATCCTATAAATCCAAATCCCCTAGAGAATGCACCACCCTGGGCTCTCTTGTCCCCTCCTAGTATAAGCCAGGAGCTCTGTCCTCAAATAAAAGTCTCTCCCTGGCTCTCCTACCTTGAGTGTTTGCTAAATTCATTCTTCGACTCCACAAAGAAGAACCTCGGCATCAACAGGGCTGGTGTCTCCCATGGGCAGAAACAGGGCTGAGCTCAGAGGACACATCCAACTGCAGTCATCAGGAACTAGTGAACCTAACTCCCAGCCAGCTGTTTCCACCCCGATTATCCCAGAGATGAGTGTGGCACTTGACTACACATGCCCTGATATCCTTGACTTAGTTGCTAACCACTGAAGCCAGCCACAATTTTCACACCAGTCTCCCAACAGCTGGTCAAAGCTCCCCAAAGTCCCTGGTAGAACCTGGGAATGTGTTGCTATGTCATCAACTATTTCAGCTGGACTTGAGAACCGTGACCTCCTAACTTTTGCTTATTTGGTACATTGCAAACTTTTTTGTTTTTAACATTTCTTATAAGTGTGGTTAAGTTGTAGGATCTGAAAAATCAAAAGTTAGCATAAGTACAGCCATCTTAAAGGCTTAAATACCACCCCCTAACCTAGAAGGAGGAAAATTATTAGAATCTTGAAAAACAAGTTAGTCAGCCAGTGTTAAATGTAGTGACCTTTAGTTAGCTGACCTCAAATCAGTTAATCATACACACCAAGCTTATCTTGCTAGAACCACCCTAAACATTCCGAAGGTAATCTTATCTAACCAGACCCCAGGATGTGGCCCCAGCCAAAGATTTATGTGTCTATGAAAAAACACTGTATTGTGATGGTGGAAAATGTTGCCCCCTTTGAAAATGCTATAAAACCTTCTGGCTTTGTGTGCTCAGGGTCCTTGTTGAGACCTGCTGTGTCGGGCTGATGCTTGGACCCCAGCTAGCTGGTTCCTGAATAAATTCCTCTTGCTTGTTGCATCAAGAGACGCCTTTCGTGAGTGAATTGGGGCGGCGTCCTCCTCAGGGAGAATCCAACAAAGTGATCATTTGTTTCTTGCTCATTTCTTAAGTAGACTATAAACTGCCTGGAAACAAAGTCCATGCCTATCTTGTTCTGCTTTTCTCCAGACTCTACCACACTACTGGGTGCATAAAACTACCCAATAAATATTCTTGAATGCCTGAAATTTTGCTTGTCCTTAAATTTTCCTCTTGTACTTACTTCTCCCACCACCTGTCCTCTTCTCTCCCCGGCCTGCCCT